GGTATGCAATCTGACGGATAGAAACGAGGATAGAAACGCAATATGTGTAATCCGCGAATAACTGGCCGACCAATGAGCCAGTTATTCGCCGACCAGAATTAAAGAACGGCCAATTTATCTTGCAGATAGTCAATTTTTAGTTTTACCAACAAGATAAATTTGTCAATGACGTTACCAGTGGATCCATAATTTGGCCCTTAGACAAACAAAATATTGCATACACCACTGCAATATTGTAATTGGGCCTCGCCAAACTACTCTGCCCCCAGTTCCAAAATCTGAAGTTACGCCACTGGTTGGTGGAGTTTTCTTCATTGAAATAATTTAGTGCTAATTAGGTGCTAATTAAATCCCAGTTAACCAAGCTTTGTGCTCTTGTAGATTTCGAAATGTGGCCTGCACTGCTAGCTACCCGTTGAAGTGCACCATCTAGGAAAGTGGTAGGGAGATATAAATGATGAAGAAAATTGAATGCTAATTAAATGCTACCAGTTCCATGAACAAAGTCTCTATTTTCAGGTTTGTTTGCATATTTTTTTTAAAAACAACGCGGTGCAGTGCTAGCTTTATGCAGTACAGATATTGAGTTTTTATGAAAGAAGGGGTTAGTTAAGATTTCGACATTGGAATAATTTAGTGCTAATAAGGTGCTAATCAAATGCCAAGTTACCAAATTTTTTGCTCTTGTATTTTCCGAGATATGGCCTGCACTGCTAGCTACCCGTTAAAGATAGCAGTGCACTGCGTTGTTTTTAAAAAATATATGGAAACTTGCTGAAAATAGAGATTTTGTTAATGGAAATGCGAAGGTTCAACCACTTTCCGAAATACGTGTACACTTGGCCCGATTTACTTCCGAAATACTTCGAAGTACCTAGAAATACCGTGAAGTACCTCGAGATACCAGGTATTCCTGTCGAAGTAAGCGAAATCCCATGGAATTACTGTCGGGCAATTTTTGACTTTCCCTGTATTTTTGAGAAAACCCAAAATTGCCAATTGGAATATTTTTTTTTCTGGAGAATTTAAAAATGGTACTAAAAAATCGTTTGAACCAAACACTAAAGAGTTACGCCATGCATGAACTGTTACTCAAATAGAACGCCATGTTTTTTGTATGATTTTTGGAAAAGTCTTATTTCTTACGTCTATTCTGTTGAACATATTTGATATTCCTATAGCTGTTGTTATTTTATTTTAATGTATTATACATACTTTATAATTTCAGCTATATCTGTTGGATTTAATTGGTTCATAGGTGATAAAGGTATAATCTTTGTATTTTATTGCCATGTATCAAACAGGTAAAGTCAAAATTAATAAGAATAAAACATTAAAATAAAATAAAACCAGTTATCGGAATATCAAATATTTTCAACATAGATATAGGTAAAAATATGCACCTTCTCTAAAAATCATACAAAAAAAGGGTGTTCAATTAAAAAAACATCATCCATGGCGTAACTCATTGGTTTTTGGTTTAAAAAAATTTTTTGGTACCATTTTTAAGTTCTCTAGAAAAAAAATGTTTCAATTGGCTATTTTGAATTTTCTCAAAAATACAGATGAAAGTTGGAAATAATCTCCTGTTTAGTCCTCGTTGGATGACCCTGTACTATTAACTAACTGACATTGAATACGTAGACATATCAGGTGGTATATATTTCCATTTGTTCCAATTATTCTGCAGTATATCCAAATTATGTCAACATATTTAGCCTGTTCGAAGATGGACTATAATTTTAATTCCATAATATTCCAATTTTATGTGATAAAGAATTAATTGTTATCGGTACATAAAAAAAACTACTTTTAAATAGCTCGAAATACCTCAGCTTACCGCGAAACACTTCGAATTACTTCAAAAAACTTCGAAATACTTCAAATTACCTCGAAATACTTCGAATTACCTCCAAATACTTCAGAGTACTTGGCAATATCACAATAAAACTAGGTTCGAATTACCACCACCGAATGATTTGAAATTAGCGAAATATTTGTGAAATACCGACATTTTCGCAATACGTGTACACATTTTCACATAGTGGTTGACCTTTCGTGGAAATGGTAGCATTTAATTAGCATTTAATTTTCTTCGTCATTTTTATCACCCTGCCACTCCCCTGAATAATTCCTGGGTAGTGCTCTGGCAATGCTATGTCCAAAGAGCAGCTAGCAGTGCATTCCACATCTCGGAAACTACAAGAGCACCAAATTTGGTAACTTGGGATTTAATTAGCACCTAATAAAATAAGCACTAAATTATTCCAATGTCGAAATCTCCACTAATCCCTTCTTTCATAAAAACTCAATATGTGTACTGCATAAAGCTAGCAGTGCACCACGTTGTTTTAAAAAAAATAGGCGAAGAAAGCTGAAAATAGAAATTTTGTTAATGAAAATGGTACCCACTGTGTAAAGCTAGCAGTGCACCGCTTGTTTTTAAAAAATATGCGAAAAAAATCTGAAAATAGAGATTTTGTTCATAGAAATGGTAGCATTTAATTAGCATTTAATTTTCTTCATCATTTATATCACCCTATCACTTTCCGGGATCATTTCTGGATGGTGCACTGCTATCTTTAACAGGTAGCTAGCAGTGCAGGCCATATCTCGGAAACTACAAGAGCACAAAATTTGTGAACTTGGCATTTAATTAGCACTTAATTACCACTAATTTTTTCAGTCATAAAAATTTTGCACTGCTGACTTTGCACTGCTAACTTTATATATGTTTTTGGACAAGTAGGTACCACCAAAATCTTTTTAATAAGTGAACTCCTGATTTGGATAGTTTATTCGATCTAAATTTATTTTTAATGAGTTTACCTAAGTTGTTATTGATTCTAAAAGCAGTCGTTATCTTGTTTTTGGAGAAATTTTTGAAAATAGTATAGTACCTACATAACTGTAAATGTAATAAGTAGATTTATATTTTTGGTCGGATATATTATTGGATGATGGATAGGCCAAGTTAATTGCCATTTGATAACGTTTTTTCTCCACTAAATTATCTACCAAACTAAATTTAAATCTGTTATTGACTGCAACCTTTTTAATAAAATTGAGTTTTTTCTTGTGATTGTCTGTTAGTTTGTTGATACATTGAAAAGCCTGTCTACAGATGAATTGAACGCTGTTATTTTATGGATGATAGGAATAATTATGTATAACTGTATAAGTGTATGGTGGCTTATGAAAAATAGAAAATTCGTGATATCGTTTTCATTATATAGTTATGATTAAATCTAAAAAGTTAATGGAATTATTATCCTCTAATTAGGCAGTGAATTGGATTTTAAAGTGAAGGATGTTGATGAATGACAGAAATTGAGTTAAATCAGTCTATCAGTGCCTGGAAACAATTATTGATAATGAAATCTTGGACTTGGTGGTTAGTTGAATACCTACCTATTTGTTTTTCCAAATAATTTAACAAAATTTCAGCCAATTAGGCAATCCAACGACCTGTCCAAATGGCGTCTGGTTGGCAAACAAAAAACATATGTTTTTTTTTTTGGCAAGATTAAGCCTAGTACTCATAACAGCGAAATTCGCTCTTTTTCGACATTGCTTCGACAATTTGACGTTTTTTGCATGAATCAAACTTCAAATTGTCGAAGCAATGTCAAAAAAGAGCGAATTTCGCGGCTATGAGTACCTACTAGGCTTTATCAATACACGGGGCGAGTACTCAAATCTGACACTTTTCTGACATCGTTGACCCGTATTCTAACCTCATAAAAATTTCAAAATGCCGGCTGGTTGGCAAAAGTCACGTGGTTTGGATTCCCTAATAACGGACTCAGAGGATAAAAAATTCGAAATAATGTTGATCCAAGCAAACCCAGAGAGAAACTATTACTTTGTTTAATGATTATGTTAACTTCATTTTTTATTAAGAGTGTGTTGATTAGTTCGATCACTTCATTAGATGGGACACTGGGAAGCAAATTTTAAGCATCGAAAGATAATAGCATTTTCCGGAATTTTTACATTTTTAATTTTGACAATAAGTTCATAATATGAATATTTAGTGCTGAAGGGAGAAAAATTACAGTATTGTAATGAGATGTTTATCAACTTTTTTGAAAGTTTTGGTGAAGGAGCATTAAAGGATACAACTGGTCTAATAGGGTCGTATCCCTCTGTGGAATTTTATCAAAGAATAAAGGGCGCTTGAGGATTCATTACTATATTAAATTTTGTTTTTCAAAATCATTAAAAATTGAAGATTCTTTGATAGTCATCCTACAGCCGTCATCCTAATCATCTTTTGGATCGAACTCTATTTGCTGAACATTGTTGCAGTCGGATTCTAAGGATTCTAAAGTTTTCTGAACATATATTAATTAGGTATGGCTACAGCAGAGTTTCCCTTATCTGCTTTGGTAAAGATGATGTTATATTTTCTTCAGTTTTATTTTGAATTAATTTAAAAACGTTAATCTCTCTGGATAAATGCCTTGATGGCATTTCTGATGGATCTTTTTCAATGATTTGAGAAATCAAAAATGTGACTCTGAGTTGTCATTACCATTCAGTGCAAGTTCACATTCAACTCCGAGATATTCTCTTCTCTCTTGTATTTAGAAAACCCTTTATTTAAAAGATGAATTTCATCTCTAGGAAAATCAACTTCCGTCAAATTTTGCAAAACGGTCAAAAAACTTATATTTACTTACGAAGCTCAGTGGCAGTTACAGAATTGTTAATATTTAATGTTTTGATAAGTTCGGAAAGTTTATATTGAAGAATTTGAAATGATCAGTTAGCGGTTTTAGGGTGACTTTTTTTTTCACAAATATCAGAGAATCCTGGAACATATTCCTCCAGTTCAAGAGCTAAATTGAATATTGCGATTTAATACCTAGCATAAATATTCAATTTTCCTTAATACATGTATAAATAAATACTTTAATAATTGTGAAAGTTGCGTTAGTCACTGCATTTATGTATATTTAGGTATTTTGTCTCATTATAATGTATTTTCTTTTTAGATTTAATTTATACGTCAAACTATTATTCGCAATGGGTGTGAATTGGAGCATGGAAGTGATCTCGTGGTTGGTCAATTGGCGGACTGGTAACAACATACAGTATATCTGGTGGGCCACCGATTTTTTCAATGCCGTTTATGGCGTTTTCATATTTTTCATGTTTGTGTTCAAGAAGAAAATCTGGAAACTATTACAGAGACGGTAAGTCAGAATCTATCTTAACATATAGAGTATCAATAATCTTTAATCACTTGTCACTAAACATTAGAATGAGTTGAGGTTGAGGCATATGCCTAAAATGGGCAAGATTTGACAAAAATTCTTTATGAATGTGAGTCATGGAACATTATCAAAGTCAATTTCTAAAATAGAAGATTCCAAAAAGAGTCAATCTTTGACACAAATAAGAAGATTTTATTGAAAGATTTTGTCCTATAGCTATATGCATATTAGTAGGCAATTGTGTCAAAAATTAGACTTCATATGTTATTTTTTTTTATAAATTATTTCTGTTTAGTGACAAGAGTGTGATTTTTGAATTTCGCTAAAAACTTTAGCTCAACTTTTTAGCCTACTGTTTTGTTTGTTAATTTTTTTTTTTGTGTGGTGGTGGATAGAGTTGACCACTATTTTTTTTGGGGGCCTTTCAATTTATTAAAAAAAAAAAACAGTGATGGCTATAATAATTGAACCAAGTGATTAAATAATGATTATTTTTTCACAACGGTTCACTAGCTTCTAGCCGTTTTCATTGTTTCGTGCCCAACGTTTTTTTAGTTTTTTGGGTCAACTCTTGTCGATAAGTAAATAAGGAGTCTACATGTCTAAAGTTATGCTGTTCCATGTTTGTGTTGTCCGAATTTTAGATTTAATTGGAAAAAGTCGCAGGAAACCGTGCTCACAGGCACCTCGCCGGCACCTAGCACTAGTAACCTGTATAACAATAAAATCGCAATGAATTAATTAGATTTATTGTGCCCAATCTCATCGACAGCCGTAAGTCTATAGTAGAACAGAAAAACAATCAGTTATGGTAGTAGGTTGGATATGGTAACCTCTATACATGCATGAGAACCAACTGTGTGCTTTGACAAAAATTAGAAATCATGAAACACAAGCTTATGATAATTTTTTGAGAATTATTAGACTTTTCAATTTTTGTTGGAGCAAACCTGTACGTAAATGCAGTTGCTTTCCGAAAATACTTTAGTACAATTTGAAAACGTGTTAACAATAATTCATCTATAACACACGACAAGATGTCTGAAAAACTTAGCAAATTAGATATTTCACAGTTTTTTTGACACATCTTGTAAGCAATAGCTACACGTATACGATGTAAGTATGGAAATGGTGACATATTTCAGAAACAGCTTCAGATATCCTCTAAAATATTTTCAGGAGCCATGATATTTAGATGGGCCAGTTTACATTATGTAGGTATACCTAAACAAAGCCTAGTGGGTAATTGGCTAAACTATATCCAGTTAACATTCTCTGAAGCTAAGCTTTGGTGTCCAAAGAAAATATTTGATTTAATTTAAACTTTCTCATTACATTATTATTTGAGGACGTTTTGTTTTTTGAGAAAATTTTGTATAGGTATTTTATCTATTTGATTTGATACCCCAATTCCTTCAGGATTTCATTTCTCTCAAACCGTTTCAAATTTCCATTTTCTATTTGAGAATAAGATTTTTGATAACATATTGTAGCAAAACGCCCCAAGTACTCTATGTAATTAGTTAGATGGTACATGGCGAGCGGTATATTGATGGTGTTTATTTCCTTGGAGCTGCTACCTATAAAATTGTGGAAGGGTCTATTTGCAAGAGAGAGAAACAAACTATTGAGGTTTACTAAATTATATTTTATTATACATAAAACCCAAAATTTTAAATCAGCAAAATATCTTCCAATTCTGACAGCCTCATCTATTTTTCTAAATTCAATTACTTCTCATCCGTTCAAAATGTCATTATTACGGACCACTGAAATATCCCTACTAATAAAGAAACGCCGATTCCTAATGACTCATAAGTTTATTCATTTCAACACTTCCGATTCATTCCTATCAAACAACCCTTCACCTATTTCTATAAATTCTTTAAAAATTTTAAGTCCTTTACTAACTGCTTATGAAAACCCCAAAATAATTACCTATTTGTTTATTAATATAGGTATTACTAACTTATTCTTATTAAACCTTACAATAATTTCTACATGAAATTTAAAACCCTAATTCAAAATTCATTTCATGAACAATAAGTTTCCTTTAACAACTTTCCAATATTTTAAGACAATTCTATTTCATGAACATCAAGTTTCTTTTGAAAATTTCCTATTCCATTTAATAGTTTATTTAATCAGAACAAATTCTATTATACGTTTCCTTTAACAACTTTCCAATATTTTAAGACAATTCTATTTCATGAACATCAAGTTTCTTTTCAAAATTTCCTATTCCATTCAATAGTTTATTTAATCAGAACAAATTCTATTATAAGTTTCCTTTAGGAACTTTCCAATATTTTAAGACAATTCTATTTCATGAACATCAAGTTTCCTTTCAAAATTTCCTATTCCATTCAATAGTTTATTTAATCAGAACAAATTCTATTATAAGTTTCTTTTAACAACTTTCCAATATTTTAAGACAATTCTATTTCATGAACATCAAGTTTCCTTTCAAAATTTCCTATTCCATTTAATAGTTTATTTAATCAGAACAAATTCTATTTTCGGATTCATATGCCTAGCTAATAAACCCAACTGTTTAATTCATAATTCCTACTCAAAATTGTATATTGTTAAGTGCATTATAAATTCCTTTCATATTTTCTTTGCACAATTAAATTAGAATGTCATTATATCTGAAGGCAATTGAAGTTATGCAATAAAGTTCCAAAGTTAATTATAAAGTCAAAAAGTTTTTCTAGTAAAAATTATTCAAGTTTTTAGGCATTAAAACTCATTGGTAATTTACTTCTTATAATTCAGAATCATTGATAAAAGTCAGAAAGTTTTTCTAGTCAAAATCACTCAAGTTTTTAGGCATTAAAATTCAAAGTTTAATCACACAAAGTCATATGTTCATCATTATATTCAAGATAAATCTTGTCACTATAGAGTACTTACATTTTGTCCATAAAACACAAAACTAATCTAATTTAATTCTTTTGATTACTTAGAGCCCGCACATAAGTTGAACGAATTTTAAATGTTATTTCTTTCACAATTTTCCGGACTTTTTCTAAGTTAAATCCAACGCGTTTTTCCCCCGATGCCTTAATAAGAACTTTCCGCGAATTTCAACCCGACTGACTCATTAGGTACTGTATACTTTACAGGGCCGCAACTAGGGGGTGGCGAAGGCGCCTAATTTAATCCATCCATATTTTACAATCCAAAAAAATCCAACGGTTTTACGCGTCATTTATCGTGGCACGGAAATTGATTTTGTTTTTGTTACATCTCTCTTTGTCAACCATCAACAATACGAATATCGATAGTAATCATATAAATTATGTCAAACCAGTGCGCGTGCAAAATGCAGCAGCAAATTGCAATGTCTGTGATAAATTCAAGTATTGATGACGTAGCGTCCAACATTCGTTAGCCAGAGATTAGCTTCGAGTCGAGCTTTGATCCGACCAAACTGAGCAAGAGCACTGTGGGCGACGTGGGCGCCCTCTGCATGATGCATGCATTATCTCTTTTGACTATTTTATATTTAGTCGTTTACGGAACGTTACGGAACTATAATCGGGTTAACCCGATCAGCAGCTGAATGTTTTCTATTTTTCCTTAATAAATACGATTGAAAAAAGACAAAATACTTCTGCTGACGATCGAGTTAACCCGATCATAGTTTCCGTAAACAGGTTTTACTTTTACAATAGCTTCGTTCGCGGTAAGGATTCTGAACTGGTTCGAAACTATTTCGTATGCGCAGTTCAAGTAATGGCGTTGGCGGATCACAAAATTCCGAACTTTTAGTTACGGATCTGGATTCGATCAACCAGAATCGGTTCGGAACCGTTTCTGAACCAGTTCTAGCGGTCCTAGGAATTTAGCAAGAACTTCAGGATTGACGCATAACGTTCGTTCACGTATAGACAGTCTGGAGAACTCGTTTCAAAACTGTTCGCGATAAAATAAATTCTGAACCAATCCGATTCCAGAGCGACAGTCCTCAATTAGTTCCAGACTGGTTCGGAATCGGTTCAAAATATGAGCCTATGTTGTTGCGTTTCGTTTTGCGTGGTTTGTGAATTGTGATAGACCGACAGACGATAGACCAAAAGTTAGTCAATATAATAAATTATCTACTTGTTTTACGCTAGTGTCCCTTCGTCGTGCTTAAGTGTAATTTCGCGGCTCATTAGTTAATTGATTCCTTTATACTTATCTATCATTCTTACCTATAACAAGAACCTACTATGAATTGAAACCCAATAAAAAATCTGTCTATCTGTTTCATTCATATCTATTGATTTTTTTAAAAATAAATGTTAAAAATTCTCCGCAGTGTGTTTTTTTAATACTTAGTACCATCAAACGAGGTTAAGTGAATCAAAAATTACGGTTTTTTGTTGATATCCTCGAAGTTCGAAACCATCAGAACGAAAAATATGCGAAAAATACTGTATGTTCTAGCACCCTTCCTAAAGGATTCAACAACATATTGGCCCTTTTTGAGTATGAGAACCGCCCTTTTTTCTGGGTCAAAGGTTGGTTCACTTTACCCACCATTGTGGGGTAAAGTGAATCACCTGTTTAAATTTGCGTTTTATTCACTTTAGACTAATAATGGGTAAAGCGAACCAGTTCACAAGGTTGAAAGAAGTGCATTTTTGTTCAAAAAATTGGTTTTACTCAAAAAAAGAACATTCTCCGCTAATTTAACGGTGAGTTTTGGACGTCGTTCCATAAATAACTCAAACCAGTCGTCCAATCGAGTCCTGGAAGATTGTCTTTGAATCTTTTTTCGGTCAGTCCCAACTTGTTGCTCAGTTTCCCTGATATCATTTGATTTTAGAGGAAACCCCCACTGTGTGCACTGTGCATATTTGAAGAGAGTCCTTGATGCGAGCTTCTTGTTCCTCGTTTAGCACAGGTTGGCGACCGTTTTTCAAAGAGTGGATTCGGTAAATAGTGCTAAACAGCACTCCAGATTGCTTAGAGGTTTTGCGCATGGACAAGCTTCCCCGTCAGACCGCCGCTACTGCTTTACGTAAATTTTGTCGTAATTGTATTTGCCCTGAGGCTCCAACTTTTTTTTGTAGTTTCTAGGCATTTTAAAAGAAGGGAGGAAATAGGGACTGTTTTCATTGTGGTCTCTATCACAGTTATTCCAAATTTCCGATAAAATTAAAACAATTTACTCTTCTGTTCATTCTTGTTTATTTTTGTTTCATTTTGCAGCTGATTCATTTTAACCCCTGTCCTGTTGTGTTCATTTTAGGTTGAAAAAATCATAATCATGCGACCATATATGTAAAATAAAAAAAAACTTTCGGGAATATGTTGCCAACATGACTGGGCTACACTTGTTATCAGTCATATATCCGGAACACATACCCCTTGCTCCTACAACTAAACCTTTTCTACTTTTTCCCAAACCACAAAAAAAACTGCGTTCGAAATACGTTCATGCTGACTCTCATATTTTCGAAACCGACGGCATATTACCTAACCAACATCAGTAAATAACAGTAACGTATGAATATCATGCGAGCACCAGAAAGGGCTATAAGGATTCTGCGCAGTAGAATTTGACAACCCATCCGGGTGATTCACTTTACTCATATACTAATTCACTTAACCGCGTTTGACGGTACCTACTACCTAGTACGCAAATATTTTTGATTTAATGTTTCTAAATTATATATTTCGAAAATGTATTTAAAAAAATTTCAAACAAAAACCAAAGCATCAAAAAATATATTTATTATTACTTTTGAGAAGGCGGTGGAGGCCGTGGAGGGGCGCCA